AATAAAAATAAAAGTTATAATAAATATTCAAATAGAGAAAAAATATGGTAAGAAAAGTTTAAATTTTATTATATAAAAATTCNATAAGAGACAGATATTAAACTTAAGGTTGCTTGTCTAAACCTCTTCAAAATTCTACGATTAGTTTCGTCAAAATTTTACTATAGATTTATTATAGTTTTGGCAGAGTTTTAGCAGTTTTGGCATTTATAATAAGTTTTAGCAGTTTCGCTTTTCTCCAAAATTTTGCCAGTTTTTTAATATAACTTTAATATAGTTTTGGCAGAATTTCACTTTTCGGCAAAACGCCATCTTGCCTAAACCTCTAGATTTTGGCAAGCAACCTTAATTAAACTTACAAAGTTTACACAAATAATTACCAATTTTTTTGTGTAAATACAATTTTAATTATAAATTACATATTATAGTAAAATAATATTTTATATATTTACAATATTTATTAAATTTTATAATTTGACTAATTTTAAAAAGTTGTTAATAGTAAAAGTATTTCAATAATCATCCAATTTTAATAAAATTTAATATATGATCACTTTTAAAGGTTATAAAAGAGTATGCAAAATTTTAGTATATATTATTATATAAAATATTTCAAAATATCAATCAGTATTTTACATATTAACTAAATGATCTGCATTTTTGTGTAACAGTAAATTTATTTAATGATTCTATAAATAACATATCCTCAAAATTTACATACTATTTTATAACCTTTTGAAATGATTGTACATTAAATTTTATTAAAATTGGATAATTATTGAAATACTTTTACTATTAACAACTTTTTAAAAATAGTCAAATTATAAAATTTGATAAATATTGTAAATATACCTTTTCAGACTCACTAATTTTGTCAAAATTTTTTTCTTCTATCATGTTTACAATAAATGGTAAAAGAAAAGGGTGATAATATTATGATATTGAAGTTTACCATTCTTTTAATCACTAAAAATAGGTAAAATGAAGCTGAGAGATGCAACCTTTTAACGACTTTTTTTGTGAAATTTTTTTCAATAAGATTGTAAAAGTGGTCATGGAGTTTTACCTTTATTATTTAAGTTAAAGGCGTTATATTATGTAAATGTGGTGTTATATTTGATTCGCATTTTTTCATTTTAACAAAATTTAGGCTGGCATTACGAATTTGGCCAAAATTAAAAAAAATTTGGTCAAAATTATGATTTATTGATCAGCAATTTTAATTGAAAAAACTAATTTTAGCCAACTTTTAACTATATATATATGCTATATATTTGAAGACAATGCCGCACTAAAATTTTTAGATTGGCAAATATATTAAAAAAAATTTGCCCTTAATTTTTGGGGACATTTCCAGTGACTGTTATTATTAAATTATAAAACTACTATTAGATTATAAAGTTATTATTACTACTAGATTATAAAGTTACTATTAAGTTATACAATTATAATATAATATAAATTAACTAAAATAATAACTAAAGAATCATAAAAACATCCAAAAAATTAAAATAAAGAGTTTATATTAGCAGATTATTAAGTCATTATTAGATTATAAAATTAGATTATAAAATCACTATTAAATTATGATATTATTAAGTTATAAAATTATAATTAGACTATATTATTACTTTTATCATTACTATTAAATTATTTCATTACCACCAAATTAAATAAGAATAATATTTTTTGATGATTGCTTCTTTCTGGGTGGATATAACTTATGATAATTTATTTGTATGGACAGTATGGAAGCTGTCTCTTATACACATCTAGATGTGTATAAGAGACAGCTATATATATATGGTAAAATTATGAGATAAGAAAGGTTGGTAAAATTACTAGTAAATCTGAAATTTTGCCCGGAGACCTTTATTAGAAGTAAGCGGGGTCCTGTGTTATCTAAATTTTGATCTTGTTTCTATAAACAATAATATATATATGTTTAATAAAAAATAATAATTATTTTAATTATTTTTATATTACGAATTAATAATTACCAATTGCTGTTACTTTTGATAATGCTATTTATGACTAAAATATTTTATACGTTTATTTCTTCTTAAAGTAGAAGTCATTTTTTATTAAAATTTAATCTTGTCATCAAAATTACATTAATCAAATCTGTATTACAATAAGGAGTAAGGAATTATTTTAGAATCAGAATTTAATTATTTAATTTAAATGCGATGATATAATGTAATATTGATTAAATGCTGGATTTGCACAATGCCTTAATGCTCGAGTATCATATATTCCCTAGTTAAATCATAAGTTGAAGATAATCATGTTCTTTGCAATAAGACGAATAGCAGGCAAAGAGTTAATATATTAGTATATAAATCACGATTAAAAAAGTTCATTTGACATACCCCAGATATTGACATTAAGTCTATTGTCTAATTATTTATTTAAATGATTGATGACTAATAAAAAAGCACTATTCCGCTCTTTAAATCTTCAAATCGAATCTACATATTTGCTACCAACCTTGATACCCAGCTTAATTTTAAACCTCTATTTTTTTCACAATAGGATTCTGTTTAATCCTTTTTTTTAGTAGGAATAATAACGAAAAAGTGATAATGAGCAAGTATAATATTGTACAATACATATAAGTATATACACGACGAAGACATCAATACCTTATTTAGAATCTAAATGGAAAATTAGCAATTGTTCAATTTCTTGGCAAGATTATACAAAATATTTCTGCTTTCACTTTATTAAAATTCAGCTAAATCTGATTTTTTCATTTGAAGGACTATTACACTTCAAAAATCCTGTGATGTTGTAAATCTAAGAAAATTGTGTAAAGTCTAAAAAAAGAAATGAATCGGTTAGTATAAAGTTAAAACAAAAACGAAAATAAAACAAAAGTGGCAACTTACTTGTCCAGTTGAATTCCTATAGGTTAGAAACTAAATAGAGGCAAAACTAAATTCATCACCGTACCGATATCAAAAAAATGATACCTAAAGAAAAAAAAGTAACAGTCGTTAATGTGTGTAAGAGAAATAAAAATAAAACTATTTCGACCAGAATTCAGTTGAAGTCTAAAAGAATACTCATTTAAAATCTTTTACATTGAAGAAGTTTTAATTATTCAGCAATTCAATTTTTTTTCTTAAACTGATGAACTAACATTGTGTGATTTGTGAAACTTAAAAATTGGCAAAAATTTTGCTATGTAAAATTCTGACAATACGTTATGGAATATCACATAAAGTTATGCTTTACATTTATTTCATTACATTAAAATATGGAGTACTTTGATATTTTATGTTGAATTACAGTCTATAATATTTTGAAAAAATACATTTTAACAAAATTATAGAGTACTTTGGCATATTATGTAGGGCTACACTATGTAATATATTTAAATATTACAAAATTTAAGTTTATATAGTACACTGAAGTACTTTGTAATCTTATTGCGAAATACTATATAATTCTTACATTATGTAAAGTTCACAAAGTACTTTGCATATTAAAAATTCCTGATGTAGCTTGTTAAACTGTTATCTTTACATTCGTAAAACTTTTTTAAACCGTATATCATCATATAATAGTAAGATTTCATAATGCCAATATTAAGACTTAGGAATATAGTTTCAGGGAATAAAATAATGTAAAGAGGATAAAGCAAGAACATCAGGAAGTCACAGAAAAAATGTTCATCAAATGTACATCAGTCACTTAATGTATATCATAAAGAAACGCTGAACATCGGACCCTGCAATGTACTACCGATGTCACAATATTTGATGTGCATCACCTAATTTTAATGTCCATTAATGATGTACATTATTTAAAGATAATAAACATCATATTAAATTTATAATATTATTGAATTTATTTTATTAAATACACTATAACAATAATATTAGCTAAATTTTTCTATTATTAAAAGTAACAACTGTTAAAGAAAATGAAAAAAAAGACAGTAGGCTTTGCAACGAAACTTACAATCTTTATATTAATTAACTAAATACTCCAGGACTTACAAAAAAAGGTTTGAAGTTATTCTTCGAAACTTGTCCAAGAAGTACAACCTAACAATAAAAAGATAAAAAAAGTATTAATAAAAAAATTAATTTAAAAAAAAATTTTAAAAAAAGTTTCGAAGTAAAACTTTGAAACTTACTAATCCATTCCGTTAAGATTTGTATATACTTACAAATCTTGATCTTCTTGTTTCATTTTTCAGAAATTCATCCGAAACCTAAAAAAAAGAAAAAGAACAGTTAGTAACCGTTCTATAATATTAAAAAAACAACAAACAAACCAAGATTCGTACTCACGAATCTTGGTTCCACTTTATCTGAAAATTGGAGGCCCACCCGAAACCTAAAAAATAAAATAAAAAGAACAGTTAGAACCGTTCATAGTATTAAAAAAATAAATCTAAGGTTCGTAATATAATACTTACGAACCTTAGTTCTCCTTTTTCCGATTTTCAGAAATCCACCCGATCCTCTAAAAAAAAAAAGAAAGAACAGTTAATAAACTGTTCGTAATATTAAAAAAAATCTAAAGTTTGTAGTAAAATACTTACGAACCTCAGTTTATTATTTTATGTTCTTCGGAAGACCACCTGTACCTATAAAAAATAAAAGAAAAAGAACGGTTAGTAACTGTTCATAATAATAAAAAATAAAAATAAAAAACCAAGATTTGTACGTATTTATGAATCTTGGTTCCACTTTATCCGAAAATAGAAAGTCCACCTAAAATCTAAAAAGAAAAGAACGGTTATTAGTAACCGTTCCAAAATAATAAAAAATAAATAAATAAAACTAAGATTCTTATGAATCTTAGTTCTTCTTTGCAAAGTCCCTTCCTTCATCCCTTTCCCAGTTTTTTACCTTAAAGTCCGGTTTCGTATTTAAGCCGGTGTCTTTCTAGTATGAATTCTACAAAAAAAAATAACAAAAGAAATGTTAGTTCGTTTCTCATATTTAAAGTAACAAAAAATTCTCCCTTTCCCCATTTCTTACCTAAAGTCCAGTTTTGTATTCAAGAGCTGACTCGAGCTGGGCTTGAGCTTTACCTAAAAAAAGAGAAAGATGGTGTTAATGATGTTTTATAATGCCATTACACAGCCACACACTCACCAAACAACACCTACCGCATATTCCATAACCAGAAACCTAAAAAAATAAAAGAAAATTGGCATTAGTATTGTTTTAAATGCCATTATACAACCACACACTTTCCAAACTATACCAACCCATGTGCAGCAATTCTTGCTGATTATAAGAAAGGTGAAGGTGATCTGAATTTACATCCAAAAAATCCCCGTGAGAGAGTTAAGGTTAATTCATCCACTAGCTGGAAATCTGAAAAATAAAAAAAATGCGTTAGTGGGGTTCCATAACGCAATTTTATAACCATACTATTCATACATTACACTACCTACTGAGAAAAGGCCGAAGAACTAAAAAATAAAACAAAATTGTGTCAGTGTTATTCCATAACGCAATTTCATAACCATACTGTCCATACATTACACTACTTATTGTATAACTCCAAGGAAAGGCCGAAAAACTAAAAAATAAAAAAAATGCGTTGGTGTTATTCTGTAACGCAATTCATAACCGTATACAGTCTATTCTTGATATAGCGAAGAAACTGGCTGTTCTGCACCTCAAATTCATTATAGCAAGTTAACGAAGAATTTGAAGAATTTGATTGGTTACTTTGTTATAGCGAGAGAAAATTAACATATTTTATTGGCTAAGCGTCACGTGATTCGTTATATAAAAATTCGCTATAGGAAAGGTAAACTGTATTAAACTACTTACTGTATAACTCCAAGGAAAGGCTGTTCTTGCTTCATTTCGATGGAATTCATGTCTAGAAGAATGTTCTTAAAGAAAAAAAAGAAAGGGAACATTAGTAATGTTCCCAAATTAAAAAAAACAAGTATCCACCCTTAACTTATATTTCCGCCATTCTTTTAATAATAAAGAATAAATTATTATTTAAAAAAAAATTGTTAAAAGAAAAAAATTTTTTTTTTTATATAAAAAGTTGATCTGATCAGGATCGGTAAATCAGAATATCGGTAAGTCATATGACCAACATGAAACCGTAGTAATTAGTAACCAATCAGAATTATTAATTTTATTTTATTACTTTATAGGCATTATGAATTCAAACTTTTTACCTTCTACGCATCTTACAAAAAAAAATATGAAGAGAAACGTTAGTTCGTTTCTTAAATTAAAAAAAAATATGTAAGTTTCAAAAAAAAACTTACAGTATTGTCAACAAAATGAAGCAAAAGAAAGGTGTGAGAAAAAAGGTAGAAGCCAAAGGAAAGGGAGAACGAAAGGGAAAGTGAAGGACGAAATGGAAGGGAATAAAGGAGTCTAAAAAAAGTAAAAGTTTAAATTTATGTTTAATATTCGACCAAGTTAAATATGGATCAAATAGTAGATCATTACAAATTTAGGTCAAATAATTTAAATGATTCGTTAAGAATTTTATAGAGGGGAAACATGAGAAAAGAAAGGGCGGGAAAGGGAAAATAAAAGGATAAGAAGAATAAAAAAAAAAGTTTCTTTAAGTTTAAAAAAAAATCATGTTGCCAGTCTATTTAAAATTATATCACATGATATAATAATAAATAGGGGCTGATATAAAATTTTCAAATATGTATAAATTTATTCACTCAATACCATTTGATAAACATTGAATTTTCATTATTAAATGTTGCACATCATAATGAAAATCTCATTGATGAAGTTCATTAACGTTAAATATTACATATTCATTTAAAATAATGAATATTATAATATACATGATCTACAAAAATGTACATGTGATGAATATTTTTTCCGTGACTTCCTGATGAAGTACTTCTTTTATTAAATCTTTATTATTATTTAATTTATCATCATTAAAAGAGTTAAAAGAATCATTTAAATTCTGTATTATTAATAATAAATATTCTTTTTAGACATAATTATAAAAAGAAAAAATTAGAACAGAATGGAATAGATCATAATATGGATTTTTCTGCTCAATTTACGCTGTTTTTTGATTGGCCAAAAAAAATTTTGTGAAAATCGAATCAGATCAGAACAAAACAGAAATGAACAGGGTTAATGTTTCTATACAGTTCTTTAACCTTGTAGTATTCAAATATTTTTCAGCTTTTAAACTTAATTAAATTTTAAACTAAAAATGCTGTCTGTATAAAAGAAATAAATGAAAAAAATTATGAATCTTTATGCAAAGAATTTATAAATTTTTTTCCTAAAAGTTATTCTTTAAGATGCATTAAACTATTTTTCAGTTTCTGAAATTCCTAAAACTATTCTGAAATTAATCCAAAACTTTTAAACTAATCCAAAACATTTGAAACTAATCCAAAACTTTTAAAACTAGTTTGAAACTCACGCAGATTTTAAAAAAAAACTATTAGTAAGCATTTTTATCATAAAAATAAAAAATATATAATAAAAAGTATTTCTCAACATTTTTTATTAATTAAAACTATTACTAAAAACAGTTTTCTCTCAATAATAAAAAACTGTTGCAAAATGATTTTCTTTAAATTTAAAGAAAAAAAACTGTTTTAATAGTTTTTGTTAAATAAAATAATAAAAAACATTTCACAACATTTTTTATTATAATAACTAATTAATAAAAACTGTTAGTATGAAATAGGTTTTTTTTTAGAAAATTTTTATTTCATACCAGGAGATACCAGTATCCTTCCCAAATTTAAACTCTGATTTTTAAAATATTCAAATTCTGATTTAAAAATTCACTTTTTATTTACAAACTTTTTAAATAAATATTAATTAAGAATAAAAACGCAAATTGATAAAGCAACTAAGATTGCTGGGCGAAACTAAGTAGTTCAGACAATTGTTAAAATTGAAACTAGTTTAAACATTTTATTAAAAAATTAAAAATTTGCGAAACTGCGAAACTGACGAAACTGGTAAAACTGTAAAAGGTTTAGATATATTTTTACATAGTAATTAATAAAGTTTACCATTTATTATAATAAATTATATAATTAAATATAAATTTAACCAGTTTTGCAATTATAAAATTTAATATATATTATATTAATTATTTAAATCATTATATATATTAAAATATATTGTAAGTTTAATTAATAACCAGTTTTATAATTTTACTTTTTATATATTATTATTAGTACAGTCAGATCTTTATATAGTTATCTAATCAGTTCTATAAAAATTGGTAACTATATAGAGGCTCGCTTTTACTATGATGTAATTATATAAAGGTTTTTTTATATAATAAGTATATAAATTGGATTTTCCCAAAAGTATGATTATAAGGAGAAATTTTATATGATGTAACTATATAAAATATTATTATATGGAAGTCCAATTATATTTATTAATAATTATATAATATTTATTCGTAAAAAATTTATTTAAATATATATAATAATGTATTAATAATTATTTATTTTAAATTTTATTAATTAGAAAGTTTAGACATAGTTTAGACATTTAGCTATTGTCGAAACCTTTTGTCATAGTTTAAACTATTACTAATTAAAGTTTAGACTTTTGTCAAAAGTTAAAATGAGTTTAGCCAAGCAACCTTAATTAAGCAACAAATGAAAAAACAATGAAACATAAATTTTTAGATTGTACTAATTATATGTTCGATTCAACCATTAAATTTTCTTGATTAAAATGAATTTGTGTATTTAATTATAAAGATCTTGATGATAAATTTCTTGATCTGAAAATTTCTTTCTTAAAATTCGTTTTAAAACTGTAGCACCTAACTGGCAATCTTGAACTAAAAAATGAATCTCTTCTTTTACATTAACAGGTATTTTACGCAAAGATAGAGCAAATTGATGAAGTAATTCTTGACTATTTAACGTATGATTATATTCTTCAACAAATTTGTTAATAAAAACTAAATTTGAACATTTTCGATATGAAGCATTTAACAAAAAACCACATTCTATACAAGCTGATTCTCGCTCTCAATTTTCTGTAGGATCAAGCCTTTTTTTAGGTTCATACTTGCCTCCATGACGACATTTGTAAGTTTTTTGAGCATATACATCATCTTTTTTTTCAACACGAACGATTTTTGTTTCAAATTCTATTTGAGTTGCATATCGTTTTAAAAATTGCTCAAGTACGTCAAATGAAGTAAAAGTTTGTCCACTATACAATTCTATCTTCAACTTCATCATCATCTTCAAAACCATTACATTTAGATAAATTGATCTCATCTTTAAGTGGTAAATCAACTGATGAATTTTCAAAATCAAGATCGTTGATCTCTTTAATCATCTAAAAAAATCAAAGTGTAAATAATTAGTAAACAATCCTCTAGCAAATATACCTAACCCTAACCCTAAGTAATTCCCTAACCAACGCACCTAACCTAACTCTAACCCTAAGTAATTCCCTAACTAACGCACCTAACTTAACTCTAACCCTAAGTAATTCCCTAACCAACGCACCTAATCTAACCCTAACCCTAAGTAATTCTATAGCAAACGCAACTCTTACTCATCATGTATAAAGATTATTAAATTTTACATTCGGGAAAAGTTGTTCATAAATTGTGTTTAAGTGAAATTTTTCGCGTTCAGGAAAGTTCATAAAATTGTGTTTAAGTGAAATTTTCATGTTCAGAAAAAGTTCATAAAATTGTGTTTAAGTGAAATATTTATTAAATAAGAAAGAGTATTTGTCAGAAAGTTCACATTTTAAATAAAAAGAAAAGTAGTTTTTACATAAAAAAAGTTTCGTTCAAGTATAAAAAGTATAAAAAGAGTTTATTGTATGTATTATAAATCAAAAAGTTTAAATTATAGTAGCGTACAATGATTTTGTGTCACGATATTAGTGTACAAATCATGTGTTTTGGGTAGGATACTGGTATCCCTAGTATAACGTACATTTTTTCTTTTTTTTAAATTAAAAAATAAAAACTATTTGCAACAGTTTTTCATTATAAAAAACATTTTGCAACGTTTTTTATTACAATAATTAATTTTTACTAATTTTAAATTTTTTTTATTAATTTAATTAGTTTTATTAATTTTAGATTAATTATCAGTTTCAGATTAAGTTTTATCAGTTTTGGATTAGTTTTACCAGTTTCAAATTAGTTTTACCAGTTTCAAATTAACTTTACCAATTTTGGAAAATAAAAAAATTTCAGAAATAATTTTACCAAGTTTCAGTTTTGATAGTACTTTAATTTCCAAAATTGGAAATTACAGTAATTTTTGGCTGAAATTATAAATTTGGCTAAAATTATTGGGATGATATATAATATGTAACAAATAAGATTTTTCCTTCTGAAAAAAATTCTGTTTTTAGAATAAATAGTAAAAATAGAAAACTATAGGGATGTAACATGGATAACAAATTATAGTTATGTGATACATATTTTGCATACTAGTGTATATTAAGAATCTTAAATTTTTTTGTAAAATTAAATATAGAAATATAATATCATAATTTTGGCTTAGTTAATTGTTCAAAAAGTTAATTATAATGCTGGTAAAAATTAAATTTTGGCCTATATTATAATTTGCTAACAAATATATACTGATATTTTTAATATAATAATATTTTTTTTAAAAAAAAACTGTATTAATATATAAAGGTTTAACTGTATATCTAGTTTAAATTTCTAATCAGATAACTAATTTAATCTAAATATTTAAGTCATCTATCAGGTTATTTATCCTATTAGATTAGATTTAAAACTTTAATTTTATCTTTTTACTATTTATACTAATTTTAGCAAGCAATTTTAGTTAAAAAAGTTGACTTTTGGCATTTATTTTGCTATAACTACTTTGATTAAAAAGTTCCATTTTAAAAATTAAACATATCTGCAAAATTAATTAAATAAAAAAATATTTCTAAATAATGTTTTGTACTTAAACTTTAAATTTGTAATTTTATTATTAAGAATCTGACTTTTTATTTGTTATTTTTTAATTTTTAGAGACCTTTTACCAGAGAATGTACAAAAAACATGCCAATAATTAGATTATTATATTTAAGCAAAGCCATAGTAATAGTTAGTTAATATTATTAAAATTTTATAATAAAAGTATTAAGTATAATTAAAAATTGTAGTAAAAGATTAATTCATAACCTATATAATTGAAAAATGTCAGTCTATTAACATGATTTTAACAGAATAACCATAATATATCAATTTCTAATTTTTCTAATTAATACTTAAACTGATTTTTCTCAATGAAATTTTTGCTATATACATATAATCAACTTATTGCACTACCCATTAGTAAATTCGTAAGTACTGTATGTCTATATGGTAATTTATACTTTTTAGCAACATTTGAATTGCTTCGAGCGAGGCTGATCTCGCATTTTCTATAGAGGAAAATTTATTAATGTAAAGAATAGTGAATATCCGTTACCAAATGACTAAGAAGTGAATAGATTACAATTATAAGATTATTTTGAAAGATACGCGAGTGGAGGAAATTTTTCTAGTAAGGTAAAAGAATTACTTTGTAGCAGCGGCAATGACGTGGGATGTGGAAACATTGTTGCTAGGAAATGTCTAAAAAATTTATTCTACGAACATTGTCTATTGTTCTTACAGTAAAATGTTTGCACAAAATAATTAATAATATTATATAAAGGTATACTCTCGAAGATTAGTTCAAATTAATAAAGTTAACTAATTATATAAAAGTTCTTGATTTTTTCTTTTTATCAGGAAGCATGTCATTTAATTTCATTAATGACAAATGTAATCGCATTGCAAGCCTGTAATAAAAAGAATGGTTAAACAAAATTTGCTTGAAATTTTTTTTTTGTTTTTGTTTTTTTTTACATATTACCTAAATTCAAATTCATATCCATTAAAATTAGCAGTCTCTTCCCATACTAATTTAGCCTTTTCTAGATTTTCGTTTAAAAAAGCGGCAACTCCCATTTCCCAGAATGCGAATGGTTCAATAAATTTATCATCAACTATGTCACCATTATGATCAAGTATCCATCTGAGACATTGATTCGTTTCTTGAAATCGATGAAGCTGGTTCAATATAGAACTTTTGATAAGAAGAAGCATACATTGTGAATCAATTATATTGCTATTGTTTAAAGTGTCCAATTTTGAATTAACAATATCTAAACAACGGATCAAATCTTCTTTCTTCATACATGCAAAACTATTCCATATAAGTAAAATCTCCAAACCCGGTAATAATGTATTTTCAAAATTTTTCGCCATATAATTTTTTACTTTACGTGTAATATACTGTTCTACTAGAATAGTACGACCACCAAATTTTCGAACAGATAAACCTGGAACTTCTATGTATAAAGCTATCGCTTCCTTCTTTTTCCCCTGCATTTCTAGACAAGCTGCTTGAAAATAACGGAAAAACGCGGGACTCCAATAGTTCTCTGTTGCAAGCGTGTCAAAACATTGTGCAGCTTTTCCCCATTGTAAAGTCATCGCGTAGTTCATTCCCAATTCATAGTCACATAAACGTCTCAGTTCGACACCAAAACCTTCTTTTAGGTTGTGATTTACTGATATGAATGCTTCGGTAGACGCATCCAAATCACGTTTGAGCCGGAGATTACGGCCGGCGAAAAAAGTAAAAAAATCAGATCCGGGAAATTGTTTCAAAGCATCTTGAATATATTCTTCAGCTTTCGGTATCTAAACGTATAACAATTTTAAGAATTAAACCTTAATTATAAATATGAAATTTCATGCCACATATTTATATGGATTAAATACATTATCTGGGCCCAAAGTAGATGGTGAAAAAGAAGTCAGCATTGTATAAGATGTCACAAATCTGCAGTCCATAAGAACATTAATAACATACAAGTCAAGTAGCAATATAGAAATTTATGTATCAACAACTTACAAGAGAGATGCCAATGGCGACCTTATCCCTCTTCCTTTTAAAGATGCGTTTAGTAATTCTATACCTAATTCTTTATTCCCCCTATAACCTATAGCAGATATAATTTTTATAATTTTTCCAGGCATAAATGAAAGTACAAGATTACATGTTCCATAACTAAAGATTATAAACAAAATTATGTTAATAAATATAAAAAGATCTGGCCAACATAAAAACATAATTACATCAAAAAATTACCGACCCAAACTCTACACCCCCTTTAGTATGATAATCCACGGATACATTGAAGCCAGGTTTATTAATTTCATTCCACACAATTTCGTAGTTTTTATAACCTAGTAGTATAAATTCAATGAATAAAGAGAATAAATAAATAAATAAGAAATAATTTAATTTACCTCGTCTTAAGTTCAACCCTGCTTTTACATAACTAATAATACTTTCTTGGAGTAATTGAATAAGAGCTATCAACAATAATGATTCAGCCTTAATAACAGTACTTCTTAATTGTCCATTTGACATAAATTGTTGATTCTTGTTACTATTTCCAAAGTAATTTAAATTGGATATAAACTTTCCGAAACTTGATCCTATACTTGATTGCGATTTAAAGGCTCCTATCTGTGCGCTAGCTAAGGATTCTGCAGAAACAAGTTGTTTAATTGCAATAGAAATATCCTGCTCGTTAAAAGTTGTTACCGCTAAATAAAGAAATAAATGTTAAAAAACAATACTAATAAATGTAATGATAACTAGGTTAATCAACTTACCTTTTAGAAATGATATACACCCTTGACCTAGGGCATATAAAGGATCAATATCTGCTTTTTCTGCAAAAATTTCCTGCGCTTCTGTATACCGATTGCAAAAAAAAGCTTGAACCTATAGAATAGAATATTAAACAGGATCGGATCAAAGATGACAAGAAATTTTTTGGACATTGGATTCATCAAAGTTTCATACCCCTTGCCACATTCTCTCATCTAACATTAGAAAAACCAAAAATAATTAGAATAATGGAATACATATCCTACAACGTACAAATGTATATGTAATACCTTCTTTTTCTTGCTCATTCGCAGATAATGTATTGAGTTTGACATTGTTTAAATCTATATTATCAGAAATATCGTGATCGTCAGAATCTTCATAATCTATATTGCTATTAGAAGCATTTCCATTCTTTGGACCCATAATTACAAATATTACGGAAGATACCACAAAGACTGTATTACCTTCTTCAATATATGCAGGCCATGTTAGTCACACAAGGAGGTAAATCGGAAATTTGTATTACTAAGCGAATACACGCGTAACTCGCATATTTTTATCGAAATACCTTTTAAAGTAATCGTTTTTTGTTTGATGAACAATCTTTTTTAGTTACGAATTCCGGAGCTTATCACGTCAGAAATGATAAAAGGTCAAACATAAAAAGGCAAGCTGATATATTTAATTCACTTTAATTTATTTCAAAAATAATTATTTGTTTCATAAACTTTTATGAATTTGTAAATACCCAATACCCGGGGGCATTTTTGGGTTTTGGACTTGTCCAATTGGTTTTTTAATTGGACAATTTTGGACATAGTTTTGGACTGTTCAAGAGTTCTAATATTCATCAACTGAAACTAAAAATAAAATAGAAATATAATAAAAAAGTAAATATTTAATAAATTAAATGATAAAAAATTAATGTAAAAAAATCAATTTATTAATTGAACTAAAATTAAATTATTAGCTAAAATTAGTCATAATTCTGGCCAAAATTAATTTTTTGTCATGTGACCTGTCCAAAACCTGTCCAATGAAAAAAGGTTTTGTTTTGGACAAGTTTACAAGTTTTGGACAGGTTTTAGACAAATGTCCAAAATGTCCAATTGTCCAATTACCATTTTTTACTAAGTAATAATCCAATAACTTAATATTTATTATATTTATAAAATTTTTACTATTATGTGATTGTATGCTAAAATATCACAATTAATCATGTAATTGTAAATAGTAATGCAGGGGTAATTAACTATCAAGAATAACTTTATTAGTTAGATTTATTTTTAGTACAATATAAATTTTCATATTTATTAAAAATATTTCTTATGATTCTTTTTCTTTGTTACATCCCAAACTTTTGTATTATTTTTTTTATGTATTAATAAAGTAAGTCTTTATATTTGCCATATAATATTAAATAATTCCTTTATAATTATATAAATTATCTATTATTAATCATATCAATTAATAAAGCTAACCCATTCAAACATAAAGTATTGAAACAGTATATTGCTGAACTTGAAACTAAAAATAAGGCTGATAAAGCTATTATTAAGGATATATTTATCTTCAAGTAAATGTTATAAATAAATGTATCAGACATAATAATATAAAAGTTAAATTTAAGGTTAAAATTAAAGAATTAAAGAAAAACAGGACAAATATTATTATCAAAAATACTGAATTTAGAGCTAGAGTTGTAAAATTAGAACAAGATATAGATGAATTTAAAGAAGAATTAAAAAAAATTGTAAATTTCAGAAGAAATATATTCTAATTGCTCAAGTTAGAGCTTTGAATGGGTCAGATTAGATCAAGTAATTGGCTTGACCTGACCCAAGGTGAGTCATGAATTTGATGACCTGATCTAAATATTACGAATTAGTTCAGATACCTGACCTGATCTGTTAACCTGATATATTTTAGGTCAAAAAAACATTTAAGTGTTTTTTATATATCAAATTATAAGAAAAAATGCTGAACATTTTTTTTTATAAAAAAGAACGTTTTAGTACTTTTTATATATCATATATTATGCCAAAATGTTTTTTATATCAGGTCAGGTCAGGTATCTGACCAACCTATTAATGTTTTAAAAAAAAAAACATTTTTCATTTTATTTAATAAAAAAATATTATTTTATGTTTCTTTTAATGAAAAAACAGCACAGATTCAACATTTTTTTATTATCTTTTAATGAAAAAATGTCATTTTTTTTATTAAATTGTGTTTTTAATAAAAAATGTTAGATTCGGCATTTTTTCATTAAAAAACTTTTTTTTTTATTTCTTTTAATGAAAAACATTAGGTTCAACATTTTTTTATTAAAAACTTTTTTTTTTGTTTCTTTTAATGAAAAACGTCAGATTTGATATTTTTTCATTAAAAAAATTTTTTTTGTTTCTTTTAAT